AATGCTGACTTCTGCACATGGCTGTTGCATCAGCAACTCACAGCAGCTTTGGTTGCCAGAGATCTGCACAAGATAAAGCTAGTCAAAATTCCAGTATGGGTGGGGGAGGGGCCCCCAAAGCCTCCACCAATCAGAGGAGGTATTGGCAGTTGATGACTGCTGAGGGAGGGTAAGTCACTCTCCTTTGGGAACAAGGCCACTGGTAGGCTGCTCAGGAAGTTATTAATAACAAAATAAAAAATAAAAAGAGGATCATTTAGGGGTTGGGGATTTAGCTCAGTGGTAGAGCACTTGTTAGGCAAGCGCAAGGCCCTGGGCTTGGTTCTCAGCTCAAAAAAAAAAAAAAAAAAAGACGATCATTAAGCTAGGAAGGAGATGGGGTAGGGGAGCACTAGGGGAAGTTGGAGGGAGGTAGTATGGATGGTTATGATCAATACACCCTGAATAGATGTATGGAACTCTCAAAGAATAAAAAAAAATGTTTAAAATTGTGCAGCTGATCCACCCACGTTGCATGTATTTTGCAGCAGCAGCTGAGGCCAGTGCATTTACTCTGGGATGGTCCTCTATGGGATGACTGCATCAGACCACAGGCCAGCAGCCTGCACCCCACGATGTCGATGAGAAAGACTGTTTACAGGGCAGACTGGAATGTAAGGAGAAGGGCCCCTAGAAAGACAAGGTGGACAGACGTACTGATCAGTCCTCCAAGGGGGAGGTGAATCGGGATAATGACCAGGTGGCCAAAGAGACTCCCTTTTAGCGGTTTTCTAGACACTCCGAACTTGAACTATCCTATAATATCAGGACCAAAATATCCCTTGGCTACGTTTCTCCTCCATTATAAGGGCAGAAGGACCCTAGGAATTATCCAATCAGACCCTTTCATTTACAGACAAAAAGAAAGGAGCTTAGAGATGGAAGGAAGGCTCTGGTATTCTGAGAGCTGGGCTAGGACTTTAATCCCGGTCTTCTACGCCACAACCCTGGGCCTATGTTGCCTGGGCAACATCGTTGTACCACCAGAAGCATCTCGTCTTACCTCCTTTGCCTCTTCCATCTATATAACTGAGAAGTCTTCCCAAAGGACAAATCAATGATCATGCTACCAGCCTAAAACCTTCCCTTGTTCCTACTGCCTTGGGATGAAAAGACACACATGATTTCTCCTCCGTCCTCGCCCCAACCACCTCCCAGGCTCATCTTCTCTCTCACCCCACATTTTCTTACTTCATGCTCTTGAACCACTTGTAGTTCCCTAGGTGTGAAATGTTTGCTCCCAACTCTAAGCCTTTTGCATACACTGGTCCCTCTGCCTTTAACACTCGCCCCAGCCCTGCTGTGTTTCTCTGGGCCTGTGTAGGTTTCAGAGATGTTTAGTTCCACAAGGCTGCCCTCGTCTGCTTACTTCCAGGGTTAGGTGTTCTTCCTACATTCAATGGCAGGAAAAGCTCCATTAGGAGCTGCTTTCCTGTTAATTTTTCCTTCTCCCTGGAATAAGATCCTGAGACACTGTCACCGTCCCCATACTGAGTCCAGAGACAGACCCAGAGTAAACTCTCAGTAAAACCTGCTGAGCAAAAAACTGTTAGTGTCCATCCTCCAAATGTCCAAGAAGTTTAAGTGCATCATGATGAATGGCTTTTTCTAGAAATCATTGGCTTCTTCTGGTTCCCCAGTTACCACATACACTTTCATAATTCTGTGTCTTTTCACATTCTGTCTGCCTAGACTACCCTTCCCCAACTTTCATGCTCATATAAACACTATTTATTCATTGTTTTTAAGACATGGTTTCATGTAGATCAAGCTGGCCTCAAACTCAGTATATAGATGAGAATCACCTCAAACTTCTGATCCTCCTGCCTCCACCTCCCAAGTGCTAGAATTACAGATATGTATCCTTATGCCCATTCTATGTGGTGCCGGGGATCAAACTTAGGCTTCATGCATGCTAGACAAGCACTCTACCAACTGAACTACATCCCTAGCCCAGTATTCATTCTTTAATATCCATACGCCTATGACCCTTTCCCTGGCTGACACCCTTTATCTCAGTCAGGATCATTTCCCTCTCCTTAGTCACTCATCTTTCACAGATTCTGTCCTCTAGGTCCATATTCCATTATATTGCAGTTGTATGCCTCTGTGTCTGTCTTGAATCTCCATGGGACCAGGATGGCACTCTAGGAGGGCAGGACTAGAATATAATTCAAATCTTAAAAGCTGCAAATGAATCACTTGCATTCTTCCAGAGCTGAAAAAAGATTTAACTAACACATAATGGTCCAGAATATGTTTCATAGAACCCTATCTCTACAAAATGTTCCTACTACCCCACCTCCCAGCAATTGTCATAGTCAAACACATTTGAGAAATGCAACAAATGTATCCCCCTGGTGGAGGTTCACAGCACCCATTAATTCCTTACTTTATCTATGTTATATGCTCTTGCTCTCCTTTGTTGCCTGGGAATTGAACCCAGGCCCTCATGCATGCTAGATAAGTGCTCTACCTCTGAGCTACACCTAGCCTTGCTTCATATACTTCATGATCATCTATTATGTGTTAGACCTGGTGCCTCATGAGGCATGCCTGGGGCAGTATGCTAGGCTTTAAGCAGAATTTTTACTCCCTGTCCTGTAACTTTGACCTTTACAGGTTCATGGATCGTAGTTCTCAAGGAACAATGGTCCTTCGGGTGATGTAATGATGGTTCCAAGGAGCTATTCCTTCAGGCCATTGAAACAACAGCACAGAGGGGAGCACCGTACAGCCTGACTGATTGATCGTGGTTGCCAGGGTAACTGGGTTGCTGCTACACAGTAGGGCAAAGGGGCCACCATGTAGAACCCGGGGTTCCTCATGGCATTCCTTAACAGTTCCACTGCCATCAGTAAAAGATAACAAAAAGGAAAGCCAACTAAATGACAACCAGAATGTGTTGGTTTGGGCTTTTTGGCAGGACTAGTCAGGAATCAGACCCTTCAAGAATGATGGCTTGTGTCAGTGTACCAGATTTAGAAAGCAAACAAACAAACACCCAAAGAAAAACGAAAAACCAGAACAGAAATATAAACTGGAGGCCAATAGAGCATGGGATAGAGAAGGAGAAAAGAACTCACAAGTGTCCAGTCTCGTGACCAGTCAAAGACACAGTGATGGCAGCATCTCACCCTTGCTTGTCTCGGTAGTGACAGCATCTTCTATGACGCATCCACTTTGATTTATTTCCTGTTTTCCCTTTATTTCACAGAAGGATTATTGGCAATGGATGTGGATTATTGAGGAAGGATGGATGAGGAGCTAAAATTATGCAAACATGGATACAAGGTCTTTAGGCTTCTGATCTCCCCCTGTGGGAGAGGGTGCCTATATCTTTGTATTATTATGGACAGTTGCAACTTGTTATACCAGCATACCCAGGACACTCCTTTGCTGGAAAGTTCTAGAAGAGCTCACTTGCCCAGGAGCACTGAGAGAGTGGCTCAGTCAGGCTAAAGCTACTGCTGTTCAGTCTCATTCAACATTTTCCACTCTGTTCTGCCATGTGTGGGGAGGCACATTCCTGCTTTGCCAGCTGGTGCTCAGATTCTTTTCTGTTTTGTTTGCTGTTTATGCCTGTGTAGCTAAGCAGTGGCATTTCATGTCCAACATTGCTTTGTTCCACACTCTCCCAGAATCAGCGTCTTTGTGCTCTACAGAGTCCCCATTGGGCAGTGCTCCCTCAGAGCCCAGTCATAGCTAGGCAGAGCCCTCTTCTCAGAACTCTGGGCTGCAGTTCCTAGGGTGCCTCCACTTATCTCCTACAACACCTGCTGCTGACCTTGGCCCCAGGCCACCAGGTGAATCTATCGCCTGAGTGAATTTCTCTGTTGCCTCAATGTCCTCCTTGAGCTTTCTCGGCACCCCATGGTGATTTAACCAACCTCTGAGAGTTACTTATGTTTTCCTAACTGGCTTCTGACTGATCCCTGCAGTGGTGCCACATGCCACGTTATAGCAATGCCTAAACAAAACAGCCTGACTGTGCCAGATAGCTTTAGTGTCAACTTGACACACCTGGGTTGAAGGAACCTCTATTGGACTGGCCTGTGGCCATGTCTGAGGGGCATCTTCTTGATGATTGATATGGGAGGGCCCAGCCCACTATGGGTGGTGCCATCCCTAGGTAGGTGGGTCTGTGTTGCATAAGAAAGCAGGATGAGCAGGGGCCAGGAGAGCAAGCCAGTAAACAGCATTCCTCAGTGGCCTGTGCTCCAGCTCCTGCCTCCAGGTTCCTGCCCTGAGCTCCAACCTTGGGCTCCCAGATGAACTGTGACTTGGGATATGTAAGCTAAATAAACCCTTTCCTCCTCAAGTTGATATTGGTCAGATTGTTTTGTCATAGCAATGGAGAAACAAACCAGAACACTAACTTTTAGCATCCATTAAAACTAAGAGGGGGGCCCAATCTGTTCAGAGAGCTTGTTCTTTTAGATTTCTCTCTGAGCTGTACTCTCAGAACTATTTTCCATAACAAAAGCCTTGCTCTGTTTTCATTGAAACAGTCCATCCAGCATGAAATGAAGAAGAAAAATTAGAATCTTATCAGAGAAGGAGTTTCCCTTTCTGCCCCTACTGATCCAGACAGCATACATGACCACACACAGACTTTATCACTTTATCAGTCTAATCCCACCTATTGTTTGCAACCAAATGGAACAATTCATTGTTTCAATGGTATTTCAGCAATGGTATTTTCGCAACATGCACACTTTTATACATTATTCTGGGTCAAGGGCAAGGAAGGGTCATGAGGGATTAAAACTCTGAGTTTAGGTTACAAGAGGAGCCTAAGGCCTAGGAAGATTGTTTACATTATAAACAAGCTGAGACAGTGTTAAATGATCTCAGAACATAAGATCAGATTAACTTTAGTTACAAGGTTAGGCAAGATTCCATTTATTCAGAAAACTCACTCCCATACAAGTGGAGATGAGACAGAGTCCCTTCTCACATGGACCTGATAGTCATCAAGCAAATGACAGAAATGGGTGTTTAACAACAGACTAAACAAATGGGCAAAGGACATTAGCATGTAGAGAGGCCCCAGAGGCCCTTTTGGAAATATCCCTGTTTAGCACTGGCTGAGCCAGCTTTCTGCAGCTCACTTGATCCTAAAGCAGAATTGGTGTCAACATAAGAAGGGACGGCACTAGGGAAACCTGGTGAAGCCTGGGCCCTTGCAGTCGAGCATTTGGCACGCTCCTTCCAGAGCAATAGCTCTGGACTCCAGTCTTGAGCTCAGCTGACAGTTCCCTTGGCTCTCATGACAGCCCCAAAGGCAACTTTCTGATGTTACTGTGGGAAGAGGATGCTGTCCATCACCAGTCCAGCCACTTGATATTTCCTTGTTACAGAGTAAGCGTTCTTCACAGGGATGTAAATCCATTAAAAGTACATGCAGCTGTGTGTGTGTGTATTTCTCTGAGGAGGTCCATAGCTGCTGTTGCTCTAGTAGACTGTGAGTCCAGGAAGGACCTCTGACTCGGTGCATTACAGAAAAACATTCATGCTCTTACTTGTGCATTGATTTCCCAAGACTGAAGTCACTGTGAATCAGTTCTCATTCTCATCAGCCTGGGGGTGGTCACTTACTAAACTGAAGTTCTCATCCTGCAGCTGGCTGAGGGGATGGCCAGCCTTTTGGGACTGCATGGAATTGCGCCCCTCTGGTCATGCCTATGCCTTCTGACTGGGAAGCTCCCTCCCAATGTCCAAGGTCATTTTCTAGACATCAGCTGAGACATCATGTCCTTCTCAAGACCATCTCTGATGTCCTGGTTCTGGATAGGGATCCCTAACCCACCCCTTTATGGTGCTCCCACCCTCTCATTGGGCCGTACTTTTCTTTGGATGGTCTACTCCACAATGCATTTAACTATCTGCAGTCTTCTCCACTGCCTATCAGAATAGCAGCTCCAGGAGCAGGGGTCTGTGTCTAGCTTTGCTCTGCTATACCCCAGCACCAAGTGTAGCATCCAGAATCCAGTAGGTGTTCACTAATGCTAGCTGAAGGAATGCATACAAACAGAGGCCTGCTACTCTTTTCAGAACTAATAAGTGCTGTCACAGTTAAACCATGTGTGCTGGCTAGCTTCAGTTGTCACTTTGACATACCTGGCTAGAGGGAACCTCAACTGAGACATTGTCTCCACTGGACTGGCCTGTGGCCATGTCCATGGGACATTTTCTTGATTGTTGAGTGATGTAGGAGGGCCCAGCCCACTGTGGGTGGTGCCACCCACAGGCAGGTGGTCTTGTATTTTATAAGAAAGTAGGCTGAACAGAGGCCAGAGGAGGAAGCCAGTAAGCAGTGTTCCTCATGGTCTATGCTCCAGGTTCCTGCCCTGAGTTCTTGCCTTGGCATCTCTTGATGTTGGACTATGCTGTAAGCTAAACAAACCCTTTCCTCCCCAAGTTGGTTTTGGTCAGTGTTTTATCACAGCAATTGAAGGCAAACTAAGGCACCTCGAATGTCCTTGCTCTTGTTCTATGACAGCATACAGTCCTGCCAGTTGTGAGAAGTCCAAGTAGACACACCAATAACCCACATTTGTCTCTTAGAAGCAAAAGCTTCTTTCCAATCAGATGCACACATGCATGCCCACACATGTGCAATCATCCCCGTGGATGAAGAGAAAGTGTGCCTGAGGTGTCACCTTAAACCTACCTGCATTTCTCAGAAAGCGGCTCCTGTAGTCCCGGATGACCCTCGTGTGGGGATTGTAGAAGCCATCTCCAGAGTCATAACAGCCTGGGGGGACTTTTCTAGGTGGGTCCATGTTGGTGAGTTGAGAGATACCTTGAGGCACAACAAACAAAGCCACATGCAAACCCAATGCTGCATCATCACCTATGGCTGATGCTTATGTGACTGGTGTCACTGTGGGACTAGGTGCTCCTATGCTGGGCCAGGAGCAAAACCGGCAGGAGCAGAGACCTGGGGATCTTTCTGGAAATGGGGCCATGGGAAGGGCCTTGGGAGCTGAACCTGTCTCTTCCCTGACTCCATCCTCATCCATTTTGGGGGCCAGCATGACAAAGGTATGGGTTCTGAAGTCAGCAAGACCCTAAGGGGGAGTCAGAGGTCGCCAGAAAGCAGATCTCAGAGACAGATACCAAACTGTGGGCAAAAGCCACAGGTGTGGACACCCAGTCTCACTCAGGAAACCTCATGGAACAGAGCACAGATGAGAGAGAACACAGAAAAGAAAGGAGTCAGGTGGACAGAGGTTGGCAAGTGTTGCGCCCGGACTGCCTCCAGAACTGCCAGTGTGGTACCACTGGCTGTTTCCTCATGTGCCAGATATTTGGTTCCTCCTGCTTCAAGTGACCCTTAGAGCAACTCCAAGTCACAGGGAAGAGAGCTGGTACTCAGAGGAGGAGCTAGCACACAGCAGACTCCATGCTGTCTAGCAGGGGGCAGCCTGGCTCTGGAACCTGGGGGCTAAGTACTACATAAAGGAAGGAGGAGCATGTAGACATTTTAGGTCTTGGAATGCCGTGGCTGGTGTAAAGGGAGATGTTGGAATAAGGAACTTCTCAAGTTCCTTCTAACTGCAGATCCTGGATTCCCCTTTCTCTGATCTGCGAGTTGGGTACCTGTCATACAGATCTCACAACTTTGTGCCCTGCATAAAAGCAGATGCTTTAATTCTGGCCAAGGATACAGGGCCAAGGACCCTGACCCTAACCAATCACATGTACCAGTGATTGCTGAGTGCTTTTTCAATGCCAGCGACTCTGCAGCTGTTCTATCACTGAAGCCTCAGGCCAGTGGCCATCTTGGAGATGCTTGGAGAAGTCAAGGCCACCCTTAAATATCACTATGCCCCACAAGCAGGACAACAGAGCTGCCCCACTATGCCTGACTCTTGTGGCAAGATGCAGCATGATATGGAAGGAAGTGGCCTTGTGGGATGAAGTGACTCTGCTGTTTGTGGCTGGAGAAAGGGAAGTCAGGCAGGTGCAGGGAAAGTGGCCATATGGCCGCCGACCCGGTGAGGGAATGTGAGAGCAGGGAGCTTATTGGCAAAGTCTAGGCCCTGTCATAACAAGCCTAGGAGAACTGATCTGCAGCATTCTCAGGTTACACCTAGCTGGGCAGCTCTGGGTCTCTTGGGACCAGGCAGTATCTGGCGTGGAGTGGGTGCTAGAGAAGTGCTTGTTGATGTCTTTGTCTTCACTCCCCAAGTGCACTCTTTCGTCTACAGCTATATAAGCATTATTAGCTCTGTTTGGCGAGGCCTTTTTGCTGAGGCCCTCCTCTATGCTGGACAGTGTGCTGGGCCTTTGGAAGATGTCCCCCATGATACTCACAGCCACTAGGGAAGGCAGATCCTGAATACTCTGCATCCTCCTCCAGAGGAAGGTTGCAACTGCTCTATGACACACCACGGGTAGGCCTCACTGAGTCCAGGAATTTGGGGAGAGGGGGTTTCTGGGAAAAGGAGCATGAAGCTTCAATATGAGGGATAAGAATGAGTCAGTTAGGTGTCCTGGGATGGTCAGAACATTCTAGACTACGTGTCAGGAAAAGGTACAGTGTCTGAGGAACAGAGAGGAAGTATACTGGGGGAGAGAGGGGAGAAAAGGTGAGGGAGTGAGTAGCCCAGGTAAGGCAGGGCACAGGGGCAAAAGCCAGAGAAGGCAAGGAGGTTTGGGAAGCTTCCCTCCAGGGTGACAGGAGGCACCTACTGAGGGAAGTAGGAAGTGGTCGTTTGGCAACATTTTAAAAAGATGAAAGGGATTGCAGAATGTAGACTCGTCTAGCGGGGCCAAGTGGGGGATCCTGGGAGTTTGGATAACCTAAGAGAGAGATGGAGGTTGAAAGCAGGGCAGTGACTCTGAGGATAAGGATGCATAGAGGTGCTCAGTAAATATTTGTCAAGGGAACAGATGAAGAGACATATTTAAGATGCAGAATCCATTGGGCTAGGGATCGATTGAACATGGGGCCGAGGGGGAAACAGGGAGGTAGGTAGATGGACATAAATCCCCACTACCAAGGCAACCAGCACTGAGCAGCATGGGTTGGTAGGGCTGATAATAAATTCCAAGTGGAAAAGCTTAGGGGTGCCCCATACAGGTGTTGATGAAACTGGATGCCAGAATTTGAGCTCAGGGACTTTGATTTCAATCTGGAACTGAATCAACTTATTGGGGAGAGGGTACAGAACAGAGAGGGCCTTAGCCTGAGAACCTTGGGAATCCCCAGAACTAATAATGGGGAAGGTGCTGACAAGAAGAAATGGGGCAACAAGCCAAGAAAGGAGCCATGAGGAGGCAGTTCTCTGAGCTGAGGTTACATGGTAAGGAAATAAAAAGGCTGAGATTTGAGCTCAGGTCTGTTGGCTCTACTGCTTGGGTGCTTTCTGGAAGTTTCTGCCCTAATGGAAGCTTTATCTGGTGACTGGAAGGGAATGAATGCCAGGACTGAACCCCAAACCTTTCAGCTCTGTTTTGTCATTTTGGATATGCAGTCTCTGCTGTGCCCAGAACCATACTCTTCTTGAAGTTCACCTGACCTCTCTGGAGCCTTAAAACAGAGCACCCCTTAAGCTGCCGCTCTCTAAAGCCAGACTCCTGGTCCCAACATAGCCTTCTGGGATGGGCCATGGTTTTTGCAGGGAAGTAACAGATACAGGGGGTCCTAGAGGAAGACTTGAGCTCCCAGGTGAGTTCTGCTACTGGAAAACAGGTCTCCCTAGCCTCAATTTTCTCCTCTGTGATATGGGTCAGGGAAGAGAGGACACCTGGACAGTCAAGGAGACTAAGACAACAGGGGCCCCAGGGAGCCTGGCCTGGCACCCACAGGGTATACACCCCATCAGCCCCTGTCTCCCTCCCCACCTCTGGCTCATTCTCACTCATTCTGTTGTTCTCAGATGCCTCTTACAGCTGACATGTGCCATGCACCCGATATCCATTCAGGGTACTGTTCTAGGCAATTTCTGAAAATTGTCTTATTGGCAGTGGACTTTTAAGAAAATAATGCTATGGCCCTCACTTTTAAGGGGAAAACTGAGGCACAGAGGAGTGAAGTCCCTTGGTTTCAGTCGCCCACCAATCCAGGGGAGCTGAGATGTGAGAACTGGCCTTTCTGGCTCTTCTGGGTCTGCTCAGTTCCCCTTCTCCTTGAGTGAGTTCAATGGGCCCCAGGCACTGATTTCAACCACCTTTGCTTTCCCTCTCAGTGTGGGTGTGAAGGCATGGGACAGGGCCTGGCTACCTGAAGGCTTCAGGCCAAAGCAGATCTCAGTGTAGAACCGGCGGTCGTAGCTGTCGCAGTAGTGCCAGTGCCTGTCTTCATACTGCAACCCATCCTCAAAGGTGTACTTGCCCTGGAAGACAAGAAGCACATGGCACCAGAGGAAGCGCAAGCCTTTTGGCCAAGCAGGTTGGTACCCAAGGAAGAACTGGCTTTTCTCTGCTAGAGAACAGAAGTGACAGTTGTCACAGTGACCATGATGTGAGGAGAGGAGATGGAGGCAGAGCCTGGCAACTCCCCGCCTAAGGCTGGGCAGGTGCTTTGGCTCTCAGTGTCCTCATAAAATCAGAATGATGATGGTGTCTATCTAAGAGGGGTGACTGGGAATTTGGTGAGATGGTACATGTAATGGCACATTATCTGTGCTGACTGATTCTGTGTGTCAATTTGCCTAGGCTAAGGTGTACCCAGATAGTTGGGAAACTATTTCAGAGAGAGAGAGAGAGAGAGAGAGAGAGAGAGAGAGAGAGAGAGAGAGAGAGAGAGAGAAAATGAGTTTCCAGAGGAGCTTAGCATTTGAGTCAATGGACTTAGTAAAGATTACACATTATGGGCACCTCAGTCTGCTGAGGGCCTGAACACAACACAAGGCAGAGGAAGGACCACTCTGTTCTCATCTTGTGTTGGGATACCCATTTCTACCTATCTTTGGGTATCAGCCTCCTGGTTTCTGCCTGGGACTTACAGCACTGCCTCTCTGGGTGCTCAGCCTTTTGGTTTGGACAAGAACTACAGCAGTGGCTGGCCTGGGCCTCCAGCTTGCAGAGGGTAGACCGTGGCACAGCATCCATAATTTCATGAGTCACTCTCTCTTAATGAATCTCTTTCTATTTATCCATCGTGGCTTTTTAATTCTTCTATGGAGTATTCTAACACATATAGAGGAAACACTTATATAGTTATTATTTTATTGTTTTTGTAACTAGAAAGTTCAGAGCCAGGAGCCTCAGCCCTTTGTCCAAACATGTGCATTCTGCCCTTGCTGCCTTAGGGCTAAAGGGAGCCTCAGGATGTAGGAACTGCATTGGCCTAGGCATCAGGAAACATGAGTGGAAATTCCCACAATACTATTTGTTCACTGTGTGACCTTGGGTAAGTCACATCCCCTTCCTGGGGCTTAGATTCCCCAAGCTATAAAACAAGAAACATTTCTTAACCTTTTTATAGGTCATGAGTCAGGCCTTGTATACTCTCAAGTAAAACTCATAAGAGTTATAGATGCTTTTTCTAGAGGAAAATATAGTCCACTGACCCCTGAATTCTACCCACAGTCCATAAATCTTAGGGTCATAATGCTTGGGTTAGATGATTTTGCCAAGAGCTCACACTACCTCATTTACTCTCACAGTGATTCTCAGCACCATTGTAGTAGGCTGAGTAACAGTCCCTCAAAGATTGCGACAGCTGCTCGAACTTGTGAATTTGTTACCGTGCATGGTTAACAAAAAAAAAAAAAGTGCTTTCCTGGGATCACCCAATGTAATAACAAGAGTCCGTGTAAGAGAGAGGTAGGAAGGTCTGGCTGAGAGGATGGGGAAAGGGAGGCCACCCGGGCCAGAAGCAGAGGTTGGAGTAACATGTGGTCATGAGCCAGGAAATTCAGAAGCTGAAAAAAGACAAGGGAAACAGATTCTCCCCTGGAGTCTCCCTGCTGGCCCAGTTGAGACTCTGGCCTCCAGAACCCTAAGATGACAAATTGATACTGATTTAAGATGCTGAATTTGGTATCATTCATTTCAGCAGTGCTAGGTAGCCAAGGTGATTGTCCCCAGTTTATGGATAAGAAGGTTGAGTCTCAGAGATGTAATTCATTGGCCAAAAGTTAGACAGCAAATAGCATAGCAGAATTCTAACTCACACCCTCTGCTGATCCAGACTGGGGAAATCCTTGAGTTCTGGGAGATGGAGAAGTGGGGAGAGGAGGGAAAGGAAGGAGGCAGGCAGCAGGCTGGGAGGGTAGGCCTTAGGGTAGGATGGCTCTTCCTGCCTGAGGATCTTCCCCAAGCCCCAGCTGATCACCTTCACCACCAATCCCTTCTCCCAGATGGCATCAAACCGGCTCCCGCTGGGGAAGAACAGGGTTCCTTCGCCGTGAAACATGCCGTCCATCATCTCCCCAACATATCTTGTTTCAGTAGGGAGGATGTACTTGGCATTGCCCTCCATCCTGTAAGGACATGAGGAAGTCACTGAGCCCTGCATGGCAGCCCAAGGGACAAAGTAAGAGGGCCCTTCACCCTCAGCATCCTCTGATGTCATCGTCCCACTGTTATCATCCCACTGGAATTCTGTCTCAAAGATCCTGTGTTCTGTTTTCATTAACACCTCAAAAATGTTGCTTGAGACGGGGGCAAGCTTCAGTCTATTAATCTTCCCCTAACCTGTAGACCGTCCTGGACATTATGCTGGCTACCAAAATACCTCCTTCTTAGGCCCAGAGAGGGCGGGGCTGTAGCAAAGCTACACAGGAGAAACTGCGAGGCAGACACTGGGGTCCAGACAGCTGGTTCTGTGTCTCCTCTGTCCCCCATGACTGGCGTAGCCCTGCCCATTAAGCCACAGTGGTCTGGCCTTTTTAAAATCCTTGCTCTGCCAAAAGCTAGCTTGGGCAAGCTACACTAATCACGCTGCTCCTTACCTTACTTTTCTCATCTGTAAAATGGGAACACAATCGATATGAGGAGAGGAAGACGCGGAGGCATAGCAGCAATTACAGAGATGTGGCACTTAACTTTGTTCTGTGGTGGAGTTATCTAGAACTCAGCTGTGTGTCTCTTCCAGAGAAACCACCATCTTGAGGTCAGACAGACCCTACATTATACTTTTATTATTTTTTTTGAGACAGGATCTCACTCTCTAGCCCAGGCTGGCCTTGAACCCATGACAATCCTCCTGTTTCAGCTTCTTGAATGCTGAAATTAGAGGTGTGAGCCATGCCAGGCTTTCCATATATACAATATATACATGTATTATATATTATTTTCATATATATAATATATATTTTTTGAGACAGGGTCTTATTGTGTAGACTATGCTAGTCTCAAACTCACAGAGATCCATCTGCTTTTGCCTCCCAGTGCTGATAGTAAATGTGTGTGCCATCATGCCTGGCTCATTTTTATATTTGGATATAGTACAAGCAAATCATGAATTTTAATGTTTTGTTAAAGCAGATTCATTACGAAGTACAATTGATATACAAAAATATTCATATGCTGAAAATGTAAAGTTTGGTAAGTTTTGACACACATCCTTGAAGTCACCATCTCAGTCAAGACAATGAATCTATCCATCACCCCCAGGTTCTGCACACTTTTTACTTAACGTTTCCTTCTTGCTCTCCCCAATCCTCTTCCTTAGGTAAATACTGACCTACTTTCTGTCACCTAAATTACATTTTACAGAATTTTATATAAAGGGCATCATACAGTAGATACTCTTTCTTTATCTGGCTTCTTTCATTCAATATGATTCTTCTGAAATTCAATCATTTTATTGTTATGTGAATCAATAGTTGACTCCTTTTAATTGTTGTGTACTATTCTAGTGAATCGATAGATCACATTTGTTTGTTAACTCACGTGTTGATGAACACTTGGGCTGTTTCCAGTTTTAAGCTATTACAAATAAAACTGCTATGTATGGGTACATACTTTCATTTATCTGGCTAGATCACTTTAAAAGTAAAACTACCAGTGGAGGGTTCACATTAACCAAATGTTAAATACCATTCTTTATTGTATATTAGGAGCTATCGTAATCATTTAAACTCTAAAAGGAAAATTGTTCCCTCTCAGATCATAAAAGGAAAAAACCCACTTGCTATCTCCCATATGAAAATAACATCCATATATGCTTCACTACATATTCCTTGGAACATTCCTCTTGGGTGTGCATGATTTTCCCAACTTATAGATGAAGAAATTGAGGCGTATTTGACTGGTAGACTAGAGCCCAGGCCTGTCTCAGGCTGAAGGCCATTTTCTTTACTATGACATTTCTTTCGTCACAGCTAAAATCTGAGAGGCTTCAAATATGCCTCTAGCTGCCTATCACTAAGCATCAAAGTCAAGGCAGAATACATGGCAAAATTATGAAAAGAAGTATAGTAGGCAGAAGAACTGCTGGCCTCTTTACGGTTATGGGAAACAAAGAAGCTCTCTCCACTTCAGGTCTAGGTTTCTCTATGAGGTTACAGCAAGGCCCCCCCTCCAAAAAAACAACAAGAAAACACATATTCCTGGGGATGAAGCAACAGACAGGTGGAGATGCACATAGCCTTCTCTCATTGACCCTGTAGTCTACATGATTTCCCACTCTTAGTCCATCATAAACAAGTGTGGGGTTTCCAATTTTTGCCCCTAAAATACCCAATTCCTCATTTCCACCTGACAAAAGTTTCCCTGGAACAAGGCCTTGGTAGGAAGAAATGATTAGTTTAAACACAGGACCAGATTCAAATTCTGACTCCATCACTTCCTGGCTGTGTATTCACATAGTGTACAGACCATTTTGCTTAACTTCATTTATTTGCAAGATCAGCCTGAACTATCTTGCCATCATGAAAAGGATTATATATACCCTGCATCTCTACCACTTCCTGATGAGTTATACAGGGTCCTCAAGCCCCCTAAAGCTTCCTTTCCTCCCTTATCTCTGAAGTGCAGATATTAACATCTCCCATGCAAGGTTGACTGAGGATTTGAAATCACATCCTAGATATTACACTTTTTCTAGGAACCTATCCCTGTACTTGGCTAGAACACTGATCCCTCCTTCCTCAAACTCAAAACACACTGTAATTCCACTATGACAGGGACCCTGGCTTCCACCCAACCATGCCTTTCATCTTACAGCCTCATGAAATACTTCACATCCCCAAGTAGCCCTTGTCTGTCAATATACTTTGCTCCCCTACCTCACTTTCTCCAGCTCTAAAATATATTCCACTTTCTCCATTCAGAGTTGTTGGCAAAGCCAAATGGCCACCTCCATGTGTCCTCTGCTTCCCTTGACCACAGTGTTGACCCTACTAACTGCCATTACCTATGTTATGTATATTTGACCCACTATCTTTGAATGAGCTTTTTGAGATCGGGGTCAGGTCTGGTACTTGGAGGACAATTTGTTGAATAACATTTCCTATTTTCCTTTGTATCTATAATTTTTATTTGTATTTGGGTTTTTTGAGACAGAGTATCTCTGTAGGCCCAGCTGGCCTGGAACTCACTATGTAGATCAAGCTGGCCTTGATCTCACAGATATCTGACTGCTTCTGCCTCCTGAATGCCGAGATTAAAGGTGTATGCCACCATCCCAACATTGTATATATAATTTTAATAATCCCTAGACTGTGAACTTTTTGAGATAAGACCATAGAGAGTTGGACTCAATTTTGTGGGTTCTGAATCTGTGGATTCCACTAACTATGGGCTTGAAAATACAAGTGTCCCATACAAGGGTATGGAAGGACTGGTTCCAGGATCCCCTCAGATCTGAGCATGCTTAAGTCCATTACATAAATAGGCATAGTATTTGCCTATAATCTACTGCATATCATCCTGTATACTTTAAATCTCCTCTAGACTATTTATAATTCCTAGTGGCTATCATTGTCATGGGAATAATTATTATACTGTATTGTTTGGGGACTGATGACAGAAGTTTGCATATCTTCAGTATGAAGCAGAGGCAGCCCCTGCCCCATATTTTCCACGCCTGCTGTGGAACTACCAATAGGGAAGGAACTAAGTGTGGAGTTCTGGAACCGATCCCCAGGATATACTAAGGGTTTACTGTGTACTGGATTCAAATTAGCCAGTCTCTCTTCCCCAGTCTCCACGTTTATTTTCATAGAATTTATCGGTGGCATTATTCTCTCTCTGTGTCTCTTTTTCTCTCTCGTTTTTCATCAATACAGCCCGAAGTTGACTATAAACCTCTTGAAAGCAAGGATACTGACACTATTAATATATCCTTATCTCCATAATTAAAATTATCATATAGCAAACACGCAATACACAATAAATGGGGTGAATGAATGTAAATTATGCTTATTATTAAGTATGTGCCCTTGAGCAAGCTGAACAACTTTGTGAAAGTGCCAGGCACTTCGCAGAGGTGAAGGTCTTTCCCGAGTCCCAGACAGTGGAGACGCGGTGAACCAAACGGGATCTTACCTCCCATTTACATATTCCCCTATATATTCGCTCCCGGTGTACTGCATGACGTCTGCTGCTAGTTGGTGGTTTGGATACCAACTTTAGCGGCAACAGCATCACTATGGCAACCAGGAGCGGTAGATAGTGCCTATTCGAAGCTCTGCCCCATAGACTTGCCAAACTTCCTGGAACGGTGTAGGCTCCGTTCCTCCGGGCGGAGGCAAAGCACTGCGCCTGCGCGCGCGTGCCGACGCATGCGCAGATGGTGCTTGGGCCTCCTCGGTGGAAAGGGGAATTGAAGGAGACAGGGGCTACGCGGCCGAGGCTGTTTGAGTCAGGGTCGCGGCCGCCGCCGTCATGCCGGGGATAGTGGAGCTGCCGACTCTGGAAGAGCTGAAAGTAGAGGAGGTGAGGCTAGTCCGGAGGGCAGGCGGGAGGTTTGAGGCTGCAGCTGCCAGGCTGGGCCCAGGCGGCTCTGCTGCAACCCGGGGCCTCGGATCGGGTCCTGGCCGCTGCCCGCACATCGCGAGCTGCAACCCCGGGCCTCGGTGCACACACACGGCGAGCTGCAACCCGGGGCCGCTGCACGCACACCGCGACCGGAGCGTCCCCACAGGCCGGGACGCCCTTCCCTGCCCCACTGAAGTACCAGCTAGGGCCTCTTGCATTACCGCCTTGTGAGGCGGGTGTCCGGCTTGCAGGTGCCCACAGTCGAGGGAGACAGTCTCAGCCTCGGTGCCGAACGCGTTAGAGCAGATCTGAGATGTGCAGGGCGTGTTGGAGAGCGAGCTTGCGGTGGGGCAAGACACATTTCAAGCATTTACTTCTTCAAGAGATACTTGTATTTATTTTGTGCACATACACCTGGAAGTATGAGATAATGCCCTGCTTTCGTAGTGTCGTTTAATAGGGAGACAGGCAGTGAGTGCCCTGCCAAGTGAAGTAAAGGTGGTGTATTATTACAGTTACTGCGAACTTGATCAAGCCGTTCCTAAAGGCCTATAATTATCGTGAACACACCGTAAGGTAGGGTATCATTAGTCTTCCCATGGAGTAGAGCAGAAGTAGGCCCTGGGAATAGAAGTGATTTGCCCAAGGTCACATAGCTAGCGTGTGATAGAATTGGAACAGGAATCCAGATCTTGTTTTGAAACCCAGGCTGTTAATGAGCTGGAGCTCAGTAGAGTGGGACCTCATAGCAGAGCCAGGTATGTTGGCGCCAGGAGCTGTTTGATGGGAGCCTAGTGGTGGTGCTGAGCCTCCAGAAAGTTACGCTGACAAGGCCAGACTGGACAGTTTGGACTTTATCCTATAAGGTACATAGTTGTAAGAGATGGACGGTTAAGGGAGAAGATCCTTGCGACAGGACTGAGTAGTAGAAGGGACACAACAGAAAAGGAACTGGAGGCAAGGTGGAAAGTGACACACCAGAAATTATATGCAGGCATTATTTAGGTGTTTTGCCCACTTGACTTCGTGTGGTCTTCCTATAAACCTGCGAGAACAGCGGCTGTTAACTTCCTCATATGAAGAAAGTGTTAGCGGTGTTCATGACCTTTGTAGTAAGGTGACATTTACTAAGAGGTGGCAGAAAGGATGCTTCCATGAACCCGTCTTTTATTCCTTATCCTACCTTGAAGCTGGTTAAACTTGACTTGCTGTATTTATTGTTGGATTTTTAATTTGGTTCAGCAAACATTTTGTGCCCTCTGATAAATATGTCTGCATGGTTTGCACAGTTAAGATACAGAGAATGATACAAATAACTAAAATATAAAATACAAAACATGCAGGATTAAATACTATGGAAGAGGGGTAGGTATGGATTAGGAAAGGAGTAGGATTTGATGTGGGCTCTGAATTCTAGGCCTAACTGCTTGGTCACCTTAATGAGTAGCTTTAGGCAGCAGCTGGAGACACAGGTGTTGTGTTTGTAAACTGAAGTGAGTCCCGCTGTACAGCTCTCTCTGAGGCTATACAAGGGAATTGAGAAAATGCATCTTGGACTTAATGTAAAAGATGGCATTTGAAGGCTGGCATTTTTACAGGCAGAGATAGAGACAAGAGATGTAGGCTGAGGTGATGGGGGAAGGCAGGGGATGGACGTGGGCTCTGGAAGCAGTGAGTCCAGCATTTTGGAGAACAGCAGTAGTGTTCTTGTCAAGTCTTGAGAGAACGTTGGAAAAATAGTTTGGGCTCAGAAAGCCTTGAATCAAACTCAGTAAGTTAAGGCTTTATTCTGCTGCTAAGGCTGAATCCTTTGAGGGATTGGTTGCTTATTTGTTCTAACAGCAGAATAAAACAAGAATTGTCATTCAGAAATATCACCTCAGCAACTCTGTGAAGAATAGATTGAAGAGGAGGAACTCAGGAAGACTGGCTGTGAAAGTAACTGAGACATACATTACCAACCCTAGCAGCGCAACTGTGCTTAGAGACGAAGGGTAAGTGCATGTGTCTGGAATGGCTCCCACTCAGCAGTGGATTAATGACAGGCAGAGGAGGAGAATCCAGCTCAAATTTGTACCATGTCAGCAGAATTGGGGAGGCCAGGAGCAGCAGCAGCAGCTTTGGAGAGCAGGTTAAACCTATTTTGGATTTCATTGATTGAGAGTTATGATATGTCCCTATGGAAAAAGCATTCAGAAGCTTTGGGCTAAAAAACCCCTTGGGCATTTTGACAATTTTGAGTAAAAATTAAAATAACAGCCAGTATTGACAATATCCTTACTGTGTGTCGGCCACATTCTCAGCATTTTTACATGTGCGAGTTCACTGGATCCTCATAACGGTTCTCTAAGATAAGTATAACATGTTCCGTTTTACATAAATCAGAAAATAAGGCCTGGTATGAGGTAGGTACTCTAAGAGGTGTGGACATGGTTAAGGAAGCAAGACCAGGGCTGGAAGATTTGGGAGTTGTGGACTATGACTTTTCTCTGGCTCACACCTGCAGGCTGTAGGTAGTCCCACAGTGCAGGGTGGCTGTGAGCATTCATGAGGAAGGATACCAAACTGTAAAAGGCATTTTGCTGTTGGAATTCAACAGTTATAGTGAAGAAGCAGTGAGGGGACATGATGCGTGCAAGTTCCCGTGCTCTCAGTGATGGTAATAGCACAGCAGAGACCCAATCAGAAGCCACAGTCTCTGGGTTCCATTTCAAGGGCTAACTGGCCTGTCATCCCAGGTGCATCTGCTTATTCATCTAGGAACTGGCTTAGTGTTTCTCATCTTTGTTTTCCTGTGACAGGTACATGTTCGACATGCTCAGCAGTATAGGTGCATCTAAGTCTCGATAAGACCTCCCCACCTTTCATTTTTATTTTTATTTTTTAATATTTTTATGTGTATGAGTGTATTGCCTGCATATAGGTAAGTGCACCCATGTTGTGCAGTGCCCGAGGAGGACAGAAGAGGCCATCGGATCCCCTGGAACTGGAGTTAGAGACAGTTGTTACCTGTCATGTGGGTGCTGGGATTTGAACCTAGGTCTTCTGCAAGAACAACCATCTCTCCAGCCCCAGACATCCACCTTTGTGGGAAAGAAAAGCAGATAATGCTGCAGGCTTCAAGGGCCACGGTTGTGTTGAGGATTTGAATTCAAATCAGCCATTTAAGGTTATTTTCTAGGCATTTGAGAAGGAAGGAAATGGTACTAACCCAAATTTTTAAATGTAGTAACCTTTAAACAAAACTTTGAAGCCAGGAACATATGCTGTATGTATGTCTGTAATCCCACTTCTGGGGTAGGGGCTGAAACAGAAGAACTGAGAATTAGGCCAGCCTGGGCTATGTGAGAGAGGCCTGGTCTCCAAAATACAGGATCAGAAGGAAAAAAGGTTGACTGTCTTCATCTCCCAGTTGGGACAGGTAACAAAAGGAGCAAGCGTGGCCAAACAAACACAAATGTCCAGACTTCGGAGCTGTGTGTTAGCGCTGTCAGGGCGCATTCACGGTGCCACTTTCCTTTTGCTTTGTCAGCAGTGACGCAGTCCTAGCTGGGACCCCCTTCCCGCAGGTGGCCTTGCCATTGGCCTTATTAACCATCTGTTTTAAGTGCCTGGAAGGAAAACTACAGACTTTTTTTCACATTAAAAACCTCAATTTTGCAAATCAAATCCAATAGTATACCAAAGTACACTGTGACAGACTAGATTTAAGAAATCTGTTCATGTTTTCCGTCACATTTCTAAGTTAATGAAAAAGAAATCTGAAAATGTCAGTCTTTCCTGGTAGAGAAAACAGCAACAGTAAAGTAAAACCACATAGGATTAGAAAGAAAAACCCTGAACAAGGAATGTCGAGCAATTCTCCTCTCCCAGAAGCCAGCAGTAAACACACACAGAGCCACTTGAATGTTTAGGGTAAAGAAATCTCACACTGTCCACACTGGGCATCTGTGATTGCTCTGCAGGGTTTGGTCAGAGCAACAGGATAAAATGTCAGAAGAGAAACAGAATAGCCAAGATGATTTTGAAAAGGAAGACTAAGAAATAGTTCTCCAAGATACCAGAATGTTCCGTCAGGTTCCAGTAATTGAAACATTGTGGCTTTGGCATGGGCACAGGCAGCACAGAGCAGGGAGCTGAGCCCCAGACTATGCAGTTATCTGGGAACTAGTGTGACCCACCGCACTGTGAGGCTTCTCCAGAGAGTGCTGGAACGGCGAGGGAGTCTGGCACGGCCGTAGTGCTCTGGGTTAGCATTTTGAAGCATTGGCAGACTCCAGTACTTCATTCTTAGTAATGTTTGCTGGGCTGCTTGCTTTGTTGTTCCCCTTCCAGCATCTTGTCCTCTATGATCCCTGGCCCTCCAGAGGTTTTAAATGTCCTTGAACTAGTCATCTTATTCTTGGAGTAGAGACTTAGCAAAGTTGGCTGCTGTTTCCTGTCTCTACATGCCCAAAGCCTCCATTCTTCTAAGCAGGATTCTGTTAGGGCCGTCGTGTCTTCATCTCTCAGAGAAAATGGGGTAGTTCTACCAACTCAGTAACACATGTGGAGGAGGAGCCCTGGCTCACCTTGTGACCTCCCATCTTCCTTTCCAAGGTGAAAGTCAGCTCTGCCGTGCTTAAAGCTGCTGCCCATCACTATGGGGCCCAGTGTGACAAGCCCAACAAAGAGTTCATGCTCTGCCGCTGGGAGGAGAAGGACCCGAGGCGCTGCCTGGAGGAGGGCAAGCTGGTCAACAAGTGTGCACTGGACTTCTTCAGGTAAAAGTCTCTTGACAGCAGTCACTGTGTTGCTTGAAACATCAAGCTGTTCTTAGAAGAGAAAGTGAACGTCCAGTTAACTGAATGGAAGTGGCGAGTGTGAAGGTTTTGAAATCAGATACACCAATGATAGTCATTTTTTGTTTGCATTACATGGTAAGTTCTTTACCTTCCGTGAATCTCACTTTCCAAACCCTGAAACAGTGTGTGTCCCCCTGCAGTGTTGTGGTGAGTATTTGAAAAGGTGCATTCATATGTCTCAGCCCAGTGTTTGTTGGCAGGCACTCGTTTGTTAGACTGTAGAGCACACAGTGGCAAAACATAGAAAAGTATTGAATTTGATTTTCAGGGAGGCTACCATGCTGAAGTAGAATTCAAGGTATGTAATGAATAGAAAATGTTAGCTAGACGTGGTGGTGCAAGCCAGGAATCCCAGCAGAGGAGGCAGAGGCAGGAGGATCAGGAGGAGTTCAAGGCCAGCTTTGGCTACTTAGCAAGCTTGAGGCCAGCCTGGGCTACATGAAATCTTGTCTCAAAAAAAGGGAAAATGTTTTGTTTGAGACACGGTCTCATTATATAGTTCAGACCAGCCTAGAACTCATTGTATAGTCTAGGCTGGTTCGAAACTCACAGTCCTCCTGCCTCAGCCTCCCCAGTGCTGGGATTCATAGGCATGTACCACCACACCCAGCCTTAGGAAAATGTTTAATAACCATATTAGGTCAAACTCCATTATAATGAAAGGACAGAAATTCAATTCAGAGGGAGTTGGCTGTTAACTGTAAAGTCTAGGAATGGTCCTGGTGTTGGCAGGGCTGATCCAGTAATAATGCCAGAATGACATGTCCCCTTCCTCTTCTCACCACAGTCTCTGGGTCAGCTTTGTTCTGTTGGCATTTTCAAATAGATATTCTCCTTCTCTTTGCTGTAGTCTAAATGGTCAACAGCCACTTCTGCTCTTCTTAGCAAGCAGAGAGAGAGAGAGAGAAGAGAGGCTAGAACCATTACTGCAGTAGTGTGGGCAGAGTCCCCATGCTTAGGTGGATTATCCTGGCAGTGGACTTCGTAGACATGCTGTTGACCTCTGGGAATAAAGTTCTCTGATTAGTGAGGCCTGAAGTGAGAAGTAATCTTAGCTTCATCCAAACCACGTTTCTTAGAGAGGAGGGGTTGGTTCCCAAAGGAAAATTACAAGGATGTTTGAGAAGAATAGGGAATGACTGCTAGGTAGGCAAAACCCTCTGATGCCCCCTACAGTGATGTTAAACAGAGAATCAAATGACTTAACACAGTGGCTGCTTTCTTTCTGGCCTGTGCTCTTTGTTCACATGTAAAGATACTTTTGTAGTTATAGTGTGTGTGTTTAAAACTGAAACTACTGGAAATATTCTTTTGACTATTTTTAATTCCTATATAATATTCCACCAGTAGATGAACCAACTATAATTGACCAGTTAATAAACATCACTGATGATTTCAGTGTTTGTTTTGGATAAATCTGTAGTCTTTACCTTTCTGTCTAGCTCTTTTTTCTTTTTCACCCCCTCCCTTTTTTTTGTTTTTTTGTTTGTTTGTTTGTTTGTTTTTTGGGGGGGACAGGGTCTCCTTGTAGCCCCAACTGGCCTGGAACTCGCTATGTAGACCAGGATGGCCTCAGACTCACAGAGATCCATCTGCCTCTGCCTCCCAAGTGCTGGGATTAAAGGTGACCACCACCACACTCTGCTCCTTTTTGTTTTTTAGACAGGGTCTCCCTGTATTCCCAACTGGCCTGGAACTTGCTATGTAGACCAGGCTGGCCTCGATCTCATTAGAGATCTGCGTGCCTCTGCCTTGAGTGCCACCACACCTGGCTTAAAATTTTTTTTACTAGCCTGTAGGAAGTTAGGTGTCACCTCTTTCTTATTCCCCTGCCCCTGTGTGCCCCGCCTGCAGTAACCTCCTTTCTGCTTTCATGTCAGAAGTGACCTTTTGCCCTCCCTGCCTTATCAGCACCTCTTATTCCCCTCTCAGTTCTCCTGTCTGGTTTTGTAGTTTACAGGTGTAGTGGTTTGAATAATGTCCCACAGAGGTACCAGGTGTTTGAATACTGGGCTCCAGTTGGTGGGGTGTTTGCAGAAGTTTAGGAGGTGTGGCCTTGCTAGAGAAAACGCAACACTGGGTGGGCTTTGAGCCCCATTTCCTCTTTCTCTCCCTCTGCTTCCTGTGTGTGCTGCAAGATGTGAGTGCTCAGCCTTCTGTTCTGTTCTATTCTGTTCTGGCTGCCTCCTGCCATGTCTCCCTGTCCTGATGAACTCTTATCCCTCTGGAGATGTAAGCCAAACTCTTCCTTCATAAGTTGCCTTGGTCCAGGTGTTTTATTACAGCAACAGAAAAGTACCTAATACAATACCCACCCACAATGCCTGTACATAGAGACATGAAGAGTTTGGGTCCACACATGAGATACAAAAGAGAATGTGGTCTGTCTTTCTGAGAGTGGGTTACCACATTCAAATACAACTTTCCAGCTCCATTGTCCTGCAACCTTCATAACTGTCCTTTTCTTAAGAGCCAAGTAAAGATTCCATTGTGTATATACTGAACATTTTCATTATCTGTTCTTATGTTGATGGACATCTAGGCTGGTTTGATTTCCTGGTTTTGAATAGTGCAGCAATAAAAATGGACGTTAGGTATCTCTGTGGTAGGCTGTGGTGTTCTTTGGGTACATGCCCAGGAGTGGTATAGCTGGGTCATATGGTGGTTCTGTTTTTAATTTTTTGGAGGAACCTCCATATTGAGTTCCATGGTGACTGCACCAATTTAAATTCCTACCAGCAATGGCTAAGGGTTCCTCTTTCCTCACAGCCTTGTCAGTATTTGTTGTCATAAATGTGAAGGTCTCGAAGGAGACTTATAGAATAGTGGTGTTCACTCCTATATGTTTGAAAATGCAAAGCTATTCATTTGCTATCTGTGCCCACCCCCCTCCATACTTTGCTTTGCAAAGATCTACCCTAACCTCTAGTCCTCCTTTCCAGAGAGATAAAGCGCCACTGTGCAGAGCCCTTCACAGAGTACTGGACATGCCTTGATTATTCCAACCTGCAGCTGTTTCGTCACTGTCGAAAACAGCAGGCAAAGTTTGATGAGTGTGTGCTGGACAAACTGGGCTGGGTGCGGCCTGACCTAGGGGAGCTGTCTAAGGTAAGGTTTTTATCTGACTCTGGGGAGTTGGGTGGGAAGGCAATATATGACCAAGGCAGGAGGTGATCCTAAAGGGCTCCTGGTGAGGAAAGAAGATGAGTTGTCCACATTTACCAAACAGATTCATGAGGAGAGCTCACAGTCCAGATGCAAGTGTTTTTAATAGAGGTGTTCCTTTAAATAGACCCTCCAGCATGTGCAGATTTGCTTTTGGTTAATTAGCTAATTGAAAAACACAGGGAAGAGTTGGTTAAACAAAATGTTACTGAGATGCTGTCAGGTAAATTGGCTGGGGAGATAGGATCAGGCTTTTGCCAGAGCTTTTTGGAATACAGAGTCTTTAAAAGTCTATGTTGCAGTTAAGAAGTGCTGTCCTCCCCTTTCTCCTGCTCACTGTTTTAGTGTTGACTCTACCATCAGTTCTTAGCTGAGCTACATGCTTTTCTGGGAGGGGAGATGGGTCTACTTGGGCCTTTGAAGATAGTTCATCTTCTTAAATTGAAGAATTTAGGACCAAAGCTACATCTTCACTGTATGGAAAATAGTCATGTATCATTGAAACTTTCAAGACTGTTAGGAATGCCCATCTGCTTGTAAGATAAATGTTCTCCTTCTGCCCTTAAAAGGCCTGACCACCCCTGCTGCTTCAGCTCAGACTGTCTGTTCCTTCCTGGGCAGCCCAGGTAGCAGAGCTTGGAGGGAAAAGTAAGGTGGAACCAACACAAACAGTGGATCTGAATCTTGTCTCTTATATCCTATAGAATCTTAAACAAATCAAATTGTCTCAGCCTTCCTATCCTACCTCATCTACACAATGAGACCAGGAACCCCTGTTTTCCTGTGAGACTTATGCCAGAGAGCCTGTGTGAACCCCTTGCCTAGCAGTGCCTGGGCACACAGGGCTGCCTTCATCCCCATTCCCTTCCTCTGGGATGCGTCCATGGATAGCTGGTCATGCATAGAAGAGAAACTGGACTTGTTTTTCTTTGAATCTGGCAAACTTATCTTTACTTCAGAGACATTCTTTTGCTAAACTGAGACCATTTTTTAAAGTAGTGGCCAATTCTAAGTTAGAATGTGGTAGATCTTACACACTTAACAAATAAAACTACCATTTCTCATATCTGCCCTTTGGCAGGGGAGCTCACAAGTTATGCTATTAAGGAAGTGCATTTACTCTTGAATCTTTGGATTAATATACTTTTAAATCCCCAAATGTTATTATTTAATTGTCTCAAACGTGTATTTCTTAAATTGTAATACCAGTTTTAGTTGTACTTGATTCATTGTCTAGTCACTCTCTGGAAGGATAACAATCAGCAAGTGAAGCCCAGATTGAGCTTTATTCTCTTTGGCATTCTGTGTGGTCTGCCTGCCCCTCCCTTCAGTGACCAAGTTGGGCCTGGGCTCAGAAGTCACACCCTTTCCTGACGTTTTGACTTTCCTAGGCAGAACTGCCCTACTCACAGTCTTTTCAGCCTGATCAGATCATTAAAACCAAGTTAGGGAGCACCTCACTACATCAGGCACTTACTGTGTGTTTTCCTAGTTCACCCCAAGAGCCCCATTTTATATGCGGCAAGGTTGGTGTTGAGTCGGCTGCCCATAGTGCTTCCTTTAGGAATGGGTTGGCCGCATGATAGGGCTCCTTTCAGTTTGGGGGCATGGTTCAGAAGGGCAAGTTGCTGCCGTGTTCTTCCCTCAGTCATTGGTCATTGGGTCCTTGGCTGCTGCATTTTTTCAGATTGATTTTATTCTTGAAAAGAGCATCAAATGCTAAACGAGGCAGTTGGAATTACTCTGCCAAGCAAGAAGGAACCCTTAGTTGTCCTACTTCTAGCAGGGTGTGGAAGCCTGCACTGAAGGACCTGGGTTCAGCCTCAGCTCTGACATCATCTTAGACTAGTCAGTCTCTCCTGCCTCACCTGTGAGCTAGATGTCATGTGTGTCACATAGGTGATTATATTAACTGTGATTGTGTGCCTGAGGACTCTGTGCACACACACAAAATAGCTTCTGAATTGTATATCTAGGCAAATCAGCCTGGTTTATTGTGTGGTTGGCTTAGAGTTGGTGCCACTAGAATAACAATCATAGGATGGCTCATAACTATGGTCACTTATGGACCTGTTTCCTTCACTTAAAAAGGAATCATTTCTGGGCAGAGGTATTGCCAAATAGCATAGCACTTGTCTAGAATGTACAGGGCTCTGAGTTTAATTCCTACTACCACAAACAAAACAAAATTTTTAAAAAGTCCATTTCTGATGGCTTTCCAGTTGGTATTTTGGTGGTCTGCAGAATGGTGGGTTTAGTAAATGCCTTCTCTCTTTCCCTGCCACAGTTTAGCACTGTACCTTCTCATTTGGCCTGTTGGCCCAGCTCCCCAAATCCAGTTCTCTCCTGATTTAGCATCCCTACTTCCCAGACTACAGATAGTGATTGGTTACTTCTTGTAACCAGTGGCACCTGTTACATCAGGTGAAAATTGAAGCACCTTTGCACAGCACCCAGTAGTGTATCATGCAGCCCTGTCTTCCAGCTGTGCATAGTATTTCAAAGCACAGGCTCTAGTAGCAGGCCTGGCTTTGTGTCCTAGCAAGGTGGCCTCAGGGAACCTCGGGAATGACCTGTGGAGTGTGAGGATGCACTGGGATAACGCACTAGCACTGGTGCTAGCAACGTCAAGAGCTTGGTTAGGCGTTTGTCTCCTCTGCAGCTGTAGACTTCGGCCACGGTAGACATGCCTCTGTCTTCACATGTAGTCTGCTCACTCCCACAGCCTTCCTCCTAATCTTCCCAGCTGACTTCTGACCGTCCTTCTCAGAAATAGCCCAGGCCCCTGCCTCCCTGGAATGAATGAGACAGTCCTCCTTTCCACAGTTCCGTTCCCATTATCCTGGGCACTGTGGTGAAGTCTTGCTTGATGTTCCTGTGCATCTCATTAGCCAGTGAGTCCCTGAGGACAGTGTATATCTTTTCCCTTCTGTATCCCCATTTCATACCTTGCAGAATGACAAAAAGTAGGCTTTCAGAAGTTTATTCAAGGATTCAATGAGACTAAACATTTGAGGTTTTGAAGCTGGGGAATAGTTGAGGCAGCAGGCTCAGAGAGGGGAACCCAAGGGTTCACTTAGAGTCTCAGACCACTGTGGTGTTCCTTTCAACCCTGCCTCTCCCTTCTTCACCCTTCCCAGGTTACCAAAGTGAATACAGATCGACCTTTGCCGGAGAATCCCTATCACTCAAGAGCAAGACCGGAGCCCAACCCTAAGATAGAAGGGGATCTGAAGCCTGCCAAACACGGCAGCCGTCTTTTTTTCTGGACCATGTAAAGATGGGTCCACAGCTCATACTCAGGTCACGTGCCCAGACAACAGATGAAAACACCCATGCCGTTCGCATAAGCGATAGTGTATTCTTTCCTGGATCAGAGACGTTAACAAAAAAGTTAATTTATGTGACTTGGCAGTTATTCTATACCATTTCCTGCCCATTAAAATTTTTAAAGGAAACAGTTGTATTTTATTACGCTTTATGTAACCTTTTAGCCTCTAAAGATGACTTCCCCTAGCCTTTTCTTCTGGAGTCCTGCCTATTCCTCTCATTTTGCTTGAAGTAGCACTGGCCCACGTGGCAGGGGAGCCGTCCGGCATGGAGGAACGACTGACCCAAAGCAGCGTCTTGCTCTGTACCTGCACACATTTTGAATTCTCAGTTCACTTTACACTCATGATCCCAGCAAACAGAGTTCCCTAAGGTCATTCCAGGGAAACATCCAGGACAGATGGAAAGGTTTGAGCCCTGTGACTCAGGCTTCGGGAGGGGCTGCTGGCTGGGTCTTAGGCAGACTTGTTCGAAGCTTCTTAAAGAACCTAACTTCCACCATTTCCCCTCAATAGCCCATCCTCAGGCATTATAACCCAGATGTTTTTCCTGATAGACAAGGGAGGAGGAGGCTGAACTCCCAGCTCCAAAGCCAGGAAGTCGGGAGGTCTGAGTGTCAATTCCAACCTTGGGTGTGTTCCTTAACCTCTTGTGAGAGGTTGAGTTTGAGGACAAACCAAAGGCCACATGCTTATCTACCTCCCAGGCAGGTTAGAGCCCAAGTGTTTATAAAGCTCTTTGGTTCAAAGCTCTGTTCTCCCCAGCCCCCTCACCCCATTCAATTCCCTTTCACTGCTAGGCTGTTTCCTCTACAGCTGACTGGCTCACTCTGCACCTTCTGGTTGTGGCTTTGCTTTACGTTGTGTAAGACCTTGCATGCCTTGGGCTCCTTTGCAGAACTGTGAATATCAAAGGATTTGGACCTGTATCTCAGCTCATCCAACTTTTCAGTGGGGTCAGTAAGACAGATGAGGTGCAGGAGCTTCTGCTGAAGAACATGAGGACCATTCAGGAAAAGCACGATTGGACATGCCTCCTACCCCGTGCTCACCCCACACTTTGTGGCATTTCCTGTTAAGTTCCCACTTGGTCCACACCAGTTCTTTGCCAGTGCTTTTGCCTCAGATTCTACAAGAATAAGCTCTTGAGGTTTAAAAAAAATTTTTTTGTGTGTATGAATATATTCCCTGCATGCATGTAAGTACACCCATGTTGTGTGATGCCTGCAGAGGTCAGAAGAGGGCGTTGGATCCCCTGGAACTGGAGCCACCATGTGGGTTCTGGGAACCTAACCCAGGTCCTCTACAAGAGCAGCCAGTGCTCTTAACCACTGAGCCAGCTCTCCAGCTTGCTCTTGAGTTTTTAAAATAGCCAAGGCATTAACTTCTTGGTGGCCAGAGCAGCCAGTGCTCTTAACCACTGAGCCAGCTCTCCAGCTTGCTCTTGAGTTTTTAAAATAGCCAAGGCATTAACTTCTTGGTGGCCAAAGTAATTGGAAGTCAGCTCTGATGCATGTGAAGTGACCACAGGTTGACGTTTATTTGGTATTGCCTGCCACAGTTTGCTTCCTGGGTTCCTTCTCAGAAGAAACTAGGTTTGCATAAATAACATCGAGCACTGATGTGCCAAATCCTTTGCACATGTCAAGTCCTTCAGGCTCAGAGCATTTGAAGGTGATACTGTTACATGTTGACAAGCCTGGTTCTTGGATGAAAGAACTAATGCTTGGGGAGAGAGAAAGAGGCCCTGCCTCAGTTTCCAAGTGGTGGATACAGAGTAGAGATGAAGAGTTGTCTGCTTGTGATGGCCACACTTATCCTTAAAAGCCATTGGTTGTTCTGAACCTTAGATACACCTGGAGACCTTGAAATCCTGATATTTGGATCCCACCCCTGTAAAGATTGATTTCATTGGTCCGTGGTGTGGACTGGTGGGGCTTTGAAAGCACCTTGAAACCAAGGTGTAGGGCAGTGAGCTGACTTTATATAAGAAGCAGATCTAGAGGTTATAAACTAGCTGGGTAGTTAAATGGCTAAGCAGAAATTGGAGCCCCGTTACAGCTGATAGCAAAGCCTGTACCTTTATGTACGCCAGTGCCTATAACCACAGGGAAGATTGTGTTTCAGTAGGTCTGGAGTGAGGTTTAAGATTTCTAGTAAGCTTTCGTGCTGATGCTGCTGTTCCATCTTTCCACATCGGGTAGCAAGGGGTAAACCACCGACCTTTGTGGAATACAGGAATCTGATCTAGCCTGCTGCAGTGTTGAACATCACTCTCCAAATGTTAATCTATCTCTTTAGAATTAGAGCTGTGCAGCTTGAACTGTTAATGGCTTTGAATTCAATTCTAGGATGTTTTAACTTTTACCCAAGTTGGACAGCACTTGTCTCTTCTCCCCTCCCCACCTTGCTTTGAATTCCTTGAACAAAGGAACCAACTCTTGGCTTTCCTGTACTGTTGATGGAATTCTACGGCATCACAGCCTTCTAGGACAGAAGGGCCTAAGCAATTAAAGATAATAATTCCTTACAACAAATGCACGTCTCAATGTCTGTAGGTAAAAGGTCACTGGACAATTTGAAAGCAGTTAGTGTGAAGGGTGCCTGAGCAGGGCTTCAAATAATAGGAACTCTCATTTGGCTTGAGAATACTGAGACTAATTCTTTGCAATCCCAAAGGAAACCTATCTGCCCCCTTTCCCTGCCAAGCCCATTCCTGTCTTCCCTATCTGAGTCCACGCTGTCTCCATCCTCCTAGTGTCAAAACACAAGCTGCATCTTTGGCTCCTTCCACTCATTCCTCTCCAGCTTGCAATCCAACACCAGGCATTGTTGAGTTTCTTCTGTAAGTCTCACATTTTTGCTACTTTGTCATCTATCCCACTGTCCTTGTCCTAGGCTGCTTTTTTCCCCCTTTCCTGGATTATTAAAACCAGCCCCCCAATTGCTCTCAGTGCTGTCTCCCCGTCTAGTCCATCTTCCACTGTTCTACACCTGCCCCTGCTGCTGAGAAACCTTTGGTGGCTCCTGAATGCAAGCTAACAAGACCCCAAATCCCTACTGATTGTCTGAGACTCTATAAGCTGGACCCAGCCTCCCCTTTCCCTACTTTTACCGTGCTTCTTATAATGAACCCTGAATTCTATAGAAGGCCAGTCTTCGATTGCCTCCCAGCTTTTTTTTTCAGTACTGGTGGTCAGTCATTGGATTCCTGCATCCTAGGCAGGCCCTCTCCCAGTGAGTTGCATTCCCAGCTCTGTTTTCACTTTCAATTTTTGAGACATGGTCTCACTAAGTTGCCTAGGCTGGCTTTGAACTCATTGTGTATCCCAAACCTGCCTTGAACTTGGTGATCCTCCTGTCTCAGCCTCCAGAGTAGCTGGGATGACAGGCCTGTGCCATCAGACCAGCTGCTTTCAACATTTAAATCTGTATGATGGCTATCTTGCCAGGAAATCATCCTTTCCCCTTCTCTGCCTCTTGAACCTCCAGCAATCTCTCAAGGCAGACACTAGTTCAGTCTTCCCCAGGAAGCATCCCCTTCCTACAACGAGAAGTGGTCTTTCCTGCCCCATTGTTCCTGCGACACAGTATATAGTGTGGTGGCTGAGCATAAGAGCTCTGGAAGTACAATGTCTGGAATCCAGGCTCTGCCACTGAGTGGCTGTATGGCCCTAGGCAAGTTACTTAACCTTTCTTAGTTTCTCCACCTGTAAAGAATAAACAGGAAACATGGCGATAGTACCTCGTGTCTGGAGTGGCTGTGAATATTAAGTGAATTACACACATGAAATTCAGGATGCAGTGTTGATAAATGGTAGCATCACCTATCACTGAGTGTGCAACATCAGTGTCATGACCCTGGGTGCATCCTATCTCCCCTGGTCCCAGTGTTGCAAGGGCTAAACTTCTATCCTATGTTACCTTCTATATCCTGGTGCCTATTACATGACAGACATCCAGGAAATGATGAACCATCCACCAGGTTTATCTTTCCAAAGACCACCTTCCCAAACTACAATCAAGCAAATGCCTTCTATATGGAAAGATGTGTAACTCTTGCACATTAAATTTCTTCCTTCTATGTATCAGATCCTAGCAAAAATGCTTTGTGTATAATAAAGGATGTATTCTCATGCCCTGAAATAGATCATGATATCCTTGGCGTTAAAAAAGTTGCAAATGCCTGACTGAGTCTGGTAGCTCTAAGGTAGGAACAGAAAGTGTGTGAAGAGAGAGTGTGTGGAACTTTGTGTGTGAAATGCAGGTGTGTGAATGCTTCATGTGGGTCTCTGCTTTTATTCCGAGAGACATTTCCTGCTGTAGGTGTCTCCATGGTCTGCTGGACAAAGTCCAGATGCTGTGTTTGACAGTCAGTGTCTCCAGAGTCAGACTCAGCTCTCCAGCTTCAGCCTTCGCCCCTGCACCCCTAGCACCCACCTGTGCCTTTCCACCCTCTGCATTCCCTCTACCTCTTCTTGGGGAACCCTCCCTTCAAGGTTCTCGTCAAACTCTCTTCTGCGAAGCCCCATCTTCCTTCTGTTCAGCAGCACCTTACATGTGCTGCCCTCCTTGTGCTCAGGAGCAGAAACTGCACCTTGTTTCCATTGTTTTGCCTCCTCAGACACGGTCGGGGCGTGAGACGTATCTGCTGAATGAATACTCCACCGTCAACCCTTCACTGAGAATGGGTGGCCTCATTCATTGTGAAACGTGTGACATTCTGCAGAATAAACACAGGGAGGGCCTGAGATTCTACATTAATGATGAATATCACTGGAGAAAAGAGGGAACTCTCTGGTTTTTGTTTTTGTTTTTCATAAAAGCCCAGAAATCCCTGTAGCAGTCTCAGGAGAAATGCCATCTGTAAGCTGAAGGGAGGATGCATAAAAGGTCAAATTAGGCTATGGTAATAAGAAATATAATTGCCTGCTGGCATTCCTTTAATTTGAGGGTTGAATGTAAATGAAGCAGGCATGCCCTTTCTGGAAGCCTTGTTTTAATCAATTCTGCTGCTGTGGTGGAAGAGTTTACATTCAGAAGAAAATGATAATAACATTCCTTTCCCTTGTCATCTGAGATGAAGACATTATATGATATGACAGTTTGATTTAAAAACTTTACTCATC